TGGATAATATCTTTATTTTCCTCTGGAAAATATCTTTATTTGTGAAGATATACTAACGGGAACACACAATTTCTAGCCTGATCCCTTGTGTTTCCTAAAACTTTCTCCTGAGGTTGATAAGAAGGCCCGATGCTCTAATGGTCTAACCTCACACTTATTACCAGGTTGCTAGGAGGATCTTTATAATCCTGGAGTTAAGTGAAAACCAGGGTTCATTTTTATTAAATATTGACAATGTCTGAAGGTGTCATATATAATAGTCTCAACTAGGGACCTACATGCTTAAACAGTAATTAAAACAGCACTGAGACTTCAAGTCAAGATCCTGAGATATTAATTCAAGTCTATCTCAACATCTGTTTAAGAAAGGTCTTAGGCAGTTATCTATCTACTTAGCTTCTTAATTTCCTCTTTTGGGTGAGTGAAAGAACAAATATGATTATTTCAGCGCTATGAAAATGATAAAATATTTTAAAATGTACATCATTTCTGCCATTAGCAAAATAATGAGTATTTATCTATAACTACATAATTTTTTAGTTTCTACCTGTTTAATTTTCATTGTTTTGAAGAGAGGCCAGGCTAAGGCTTTTTCTAACTTAAAATTTTAAATACAAAAAGGCACTGTACACAAACAATGCAAATATATAGAAAAAGTTAAAGTATCTTCTCTTGCTATATCCTGGCTCTGCGCCCATCTTCCTACCATCCACAAAATTTTTCTACGTATACTTTTTTGTTTTCCTACACATTTATACTCATAGATTATTAAAAAAACACATCTTTCTTTTTTAAAAAAAAAAAAACAGGGTCTCTATATTGCCCAGGATGGCCTTAAACACCTAGGCTCACATGATCCTTCATGTATTGACCACCACCCCCTGCTCTTGTGCATGTTTTAAATTAGGATTTGACTATGTATGATGGACAGAATTTTATCAGTACATATACAGATCTATCTCAATTATTTTACTATTATGCAGTATTCTTCACTGAGTGAAGTTTAATGGTCCCCCCCCCACCTTTTTTTGTACCAGGGATTGAACCCCAGGGCACTTAATCACTGAGCCACATACCTAGCCCTTTTTATTTTTTGAGATAGGGTCTTGGTCCCCGTAAATTGCTAAGGCTGGCTTTAACTTGCAATCCTCTTTCAGCCTCCTGAGCTGCTGGGATTATAGGAATGCACCACCATGTCTGGCTAACTGTTCTGCTTTGATGAACATTTATTTTGCTTCTAATTTGTTACTGTAACAAAATATCAAATAAACACTCTTCTTAGTTTCCCCAAAGTTAGTAACAAATTCTCACAAATTTGGTGATTTAAGCAACAAAGATTTATTCTCTCACAGTTGTGAAGCCCAGAAATCCAAGATCAAGTGTTGCTTCCTTCTGGAGGCTTTGAGGGAGAAATAGTTTCATGTCTTCTGACTAGTGGCTGGGGGGCATTCCTTAGGCTGTTGATGCATTACTCTAAACCACCTGTCTTAAATAGCCTCCCCCTGTGGTTTCATCTCCCTTTTCTTTCTCTTGTAAAGACACTAGTCTCATTTCCAGATCTGTACCATAATTATATCTGCAAAGATTTTTATTCCAAATAAGGTTACATTGTAAAGTTCTGGGTGAACAGAACTTATCAGGCCAACGTTCAATCCACTATACATGAGAATATGTCAGATGGGATAAAAAAGAATTAAACTGCTAAATTGCATTTCAAAATTCTGTAATAATTTTTATTTCCACCAACTGAACATTAAAGTGCCTCCACCCCACATCTTTGACAACTCTTAAAAACTTTTGCTAAACTGATGTAGGTAAAAAATAATGTAATACCATTATTTCATCTGCATACCCCCAATTGCTAGCAATATTAATCATCTTTTCATGTATTTACTGATTATCTGTACTTCTTCTGTTAACAAGCTGTAAGTTCTGTCATTTTCTAAAGGATGGTGTGCCTTTTTCTCTTTGCTCTTTAAGAATTCCTCCTGGTGTGGCTACTAATTTTGTTATAGCCACAATCTCCTCCATGTCTGTCACTTATATAAATTATTAACTTTCACTACAGAAAATTTCTAAATATTTATTTAGTCAAATCGACCAAAATTTCCTTTGGGATCTCCAGGTTTTGTGTAACATTTATGTTTTTAAATTCCCTATTTTTTTTTTTTTTTGGTGACATCACAAAGTAGGACAAATAAAGAACTATAAATTGCAGAGTTTACTCAGTTTGCAAATGTTTTATGAATGAGAAAATATTTGAGGAGCCAGATAATGCTCTGAGCATTTATAATTCAGATAGAAATAACAAATATTTTAAGTAGCAATGCTTAAAGGAAAAAAATTAGCAAAGAGCTTCAAACTGATGGAACAGATGAAAATGACAATACAACAGGAAACAGAATTTCTCTAATAGGTCTTCTAAGTCACAGTAAATTGCAACTCAAACTTCAAAAGATTTTAAGCATTCAAAAGAAAACCACGCATTTTCTCTCAAAACACATTTGTGACACTCATTTCAAGAACTGCTTATAGTTGTTCATTCCCTTACTGCATTATGTGAAGAGGCCAGTTTATCATTACACCAATGATAGTTGTTTATATGGTTCCTAGCTCAGGGATTTTATGAAAAATACTGCTATAAACATTCTAGCACACATCCTTTTGGTAAACACATTTTCATTTCTTTGAGAATACACTAGGAGTGGAATTTTGGGTCACAGGATGTATAATGTTCATAACTACTGCCAAATAGTTTCCTTTCTTTTTTGGTAGTACTAGTGATTGAACCCAAGTCTTTGTACATGGTAGGCAAGAGCTCTACAACTGAGCTACATTCTAGCCCTAGTTTTCCAAAGTAATTATAAAACTCCTACAACAATCTAAGAGTTCCAGTTTGTGGTATTCTTGTTAACACTTTTCATCTTTCCCTTTTTAAGCTATTCTAATAGAAATGGAACAAGCAAAATTACTAGAGATGTCAAACCTAAATAATTGTAAATCTCTTAGAACAAAGATTAAATGAAAAAAATGAAAATGAAAAAAAATGAAAAAAAAACGTGCAGTCTTTAAAAAGTGGGTATTAAAGTGTTATATTAACAACAACAACAAAAACCACTTCATTTCACTAATAAAATGCTAGGGGGAAGTAAACATACTAAATAACAGATCAAAAACCAGGTCAATCACGGAGTCACCAAATAATCTTTAAAATCAGAGGAAAATATAAATTCAGAAGACAGGAAACAAGACAAGTAAGTGACTAATTATCTGGAAACTAACGGATGGCATAAATTCTCTCACTAAAATGTTATGCTACATAGAGACAACTGTCACTTTATTTCAAGAGAATGAATCAGCCGATTTTTAAACAAAAGCAATACTAAAGTATGTTTCAATAAAAAGTCACAGAATAGCTTTTTTATGTGCTACAGTGTAACTACTTATCTTCACTATGTAACATACATTAAAGAAACTATAGTCTATAATTATGGCATGTAATTTTAGGGGGAAAAAAACCAAGCTGAATTTGTAATATTATCTTACATCTGTGTAACACTGAACTTAAAAAAAAAAAATTCTAGACTTGCATTTAAAACTATGTAGAAAAAAAAAATCCTGGCAAAAATGGAAATCCACAAGTTACTTCTTTATGCAAGTTACTAAGACTAAGTATGACTGGTCTCAGCCACAGGTTCCTAGAAACTAAGGACTATACCTTGTAATTTATCACAAAACTCTTCTATAGATTTAGCTGAGTATTCTTAACAAAAAATTCAGTAAATCTAACTAACCAACATGTTGAAATCTATAACTACTGACCAAATTATCACATATACTTCATGTAGTTGGTGGAAAGTGACTTATTTATATATTATTCTGAAAGATCTAGTTCTAAATGCTTAATTTTTTAACAAGAACTGGTAAATATGTATTGAGTTTTAAAATTATGTAAAAAAAAAAGCTATGAACTTTTAGAACAAAGTAGAAAGCCACAAGCTACGTTCAAGGTCATCTCTCTCTCTCTTTTTTGGTCAGCGTTGTGATCAAACTCAGGGTCTCACAAATGCTAGGCAAGCAATCTATTATTGAATCACATTTCCACTCCAAACCTCTTTCTAAATAAAATTTTAGCTTACTTCTCCAAAGACCATTGGATGAGATTTATACAAGTACTTCAATCAATGAATCATATTTTGAATTGATAAATGCTTACTTCCACAAGTAAAGTGGTGATCACTGACAAACTGCATGATTTCCTGAAAGTTTATTTGCTTAATCTTTTTTGGTACACATATGATGCTGGAGATAACAAAAGCTAAGCATGCATTCTGCCACTGAGTTACATTATCAGCCCTGTTGGATCATTTTAAGGTTACATTTTCTAAAATGTATAAGTTACATCTGTTAGGGTTTTTCTTTTATACTTAAGAGAGTAATCTAATAGAGTTTATAAAATGGGTATATTTAGTTGATCATGTAATTTAGGAATTTTGAAAAGATAATCAATTTTTTTTTGTTTTAAGAAGTATAAAAATGAATGACATATAAGTAAGAGCTCTAAGAAACCATTTAAAAATGCTAGTTAAACATGACCAGAGACTGAAATAAAACTTTTTGCTTGCAGAGTTTTTCACTGAAGAGACAAAACGAATGGCTAGGAATGAAGACAGTGAAGGCTACAGAATTAATCATACATAAACACTGAATACAAATAATTGGCAAGCAGTCATCAGTATGGAAGTGTACGAAATAATGCAGAGCTACAACTGTGACTCTCTAATCTCTGACGACTCTAAATTGTTCTCTCCAGAGATTACTGATTAGACTTGTTAGGTGTTGTATCTCAACAGAATGGGAATGAATGCCACATTATAATGGAAACAGGTGTATAAAATATGTTAATATTATATGAGTGAATATAAAATTTACTAGTTCAACACATGTTATGTCAGGTACAACTAGTCACACTAAAAATAAAATGCTAAAAACTCACTCACTGTCTTCTGTGGGAAGGACCTGAAGGGAGTAAATCCACTCTATTATATCATCTTTGTTCACCACATCTAAGGAGTCCAACATATCCAGCCCGGAGAGTGCAAAAAATGCAATTGTCAACCTAAAAGAAAAAAAATGTAAGATTCCACCTTAACTATCAAACAACTGAACTCTTTATGGCTCAAAAAAAAAAAAAAAACCTCATTTAACATTTAAACAATTTAAGCAGTACTCTCACTTTGTTAAAGTAAAATAATAAGATAAATTCCCCTCCACATAGTTTACCTTTAATAATTAAATAGTATCAGTCAAATCTTTAGTTTTTTTTTTTTTAAAAAGGGGACCATTTATGGGCTAAAGAAACCAATCCTCAATTGAAGCACAAGTGAATCTAGTATATAAACAGCACAAAGACTAAGCAGATTTAGTATGAATAAGCCAAAAACGTTAGGAAAGTGTATAAAAAGGTCAATTTCTACTATTTGCCAAGCAGAAATGTGCTTTATAACTTAGGCTTACTTCTTAAGGAATATACCAACTATAAATGTGATTCCTTGTGAAAAAATATGAATTTTGGAAAAGAAGAAATATTTTAAATACAAATGCATTTCAACTCCATTTTTCCAGCAAGGAACATTATTTGATAGAATAAAAAACTATATGGCAACGTCATTCTCCTTCAAGATTGTGCACTAAATCAGGACTCTAAAACTTGTGCTTTTGTATAAAAGTCAGCATGTTAGTGTTTACTTTTAACATAATTTAATTCCTTTGAAGTTGAGAAAGTCTATAATGTTGCTTGATTGAGCACCATTAACTCATTTCCACAGTTTAATATCTCTATAAAAGTTTATTTCAAATTATCTGGTATAATATTGTATACCAAAGCCATCTGATGCATGCTGTAACATTTTGGGAAGGTCCCAAGAGAAAATTAAGCCTTCATGCCATAAGCCCTCTGTATGTAATACATTAACTATGCATCTAGGATAGAATTATCTAGAATGGTATTACCAACTTTAAGAGAAATGAGAAAATATTCATCTTTTTTTTAGAGCGTAATTCTCTCTCTGATCCCTGGTTTTTAAAAAAAAAAAAAAAAAGGCTGGCATCTACTAGGTAAGAGAAGAAATCACAATAATTTAATTCCAACTAAACCTAACAGGCAAAAACTAAAACCAAGGATACTGACATACTCAAGAAAAATACACATTTGGGAAAACTAATATTATTTAGAAACTATTACCATATATTGGATACTGAACTAGAAAATTATTAATGTATCAATTTGAATCTAACAACCCATTGAGATCCATCTAATTTAGGTTATTTACCTGCATAAGATCAGGATTAAATTAAGGGAAGTGGATCCCTCTTGTGTAGGAAACAGTGCTATGCTATAATTCAGAGATCAAACTCTGCTGTCAAATGAGTTACATTCAAATTCTAACTTGGCCAATAGCTAGTCACATGACTCTGGGCAGGATACTTTACCTTTCCTAAGTTTTAGCTTCCAGTAATGATATAAATCATCATTACACATCACAGAGTTATTGGGCTTACCTGTCTACAACAAGCACTCAATAAATAGAAACCATCATTATTGATGTCTATCCTAACACGGAGGGAAAGGAATAATAATAACCTTAAGATTTAATCACACTGTGTTACAAGCCTTTTCTCCATGTCCTTGATTGGCAATCTTTTCCCTTAAAGGCAGGCTCTTTTCCAAAACCAAATGATTCTTTAGACACTGGGGAAACCTCTAACATAACAGCAACTGAGTTTGAAAATCACGTAAGTGTTTTATGTGAAAAGGTCTACTTTTCTGGTGATATTACTTAAAATATTTATTGTTAACAAATAAAAGACCCGAAATACTATTAATGTTCTCTGACAGTTTTAACAGGGTTTTCAGCTTTGGTATAACCCATAAATAATCATGATTAGATAAAATTGATATTGAATAGTATAGTTTATTAAAGCATTATTATAGAGAAAAGCAAAAGGAGGAGAGACATAAAAGTTGAAAAACCATGAAGGACTTGAGGTTGGAAATGGAATTAACAAAGATCTTTTAGTCAGTAAAAGCTATATAGTAAGAAAACATCCAAAAGGCTAGGGAAAGGGGGTATAGTTAAATGGTTAGTGTTTGCCCTGCATGCTGCAGACCCTGGGTTCCAACCATAGCATCTTGAAAAAAACAAAAGGCTATAAAAACAACTTGGAATTCTTTTCTAAGTTAAAAACTTCAGAAATTATCAAGACCATTTCTTTATTTTTATACTGAAGACAATAAAATCCAAAGGATTAAATTAGATTTCTATGCTTTGGTTAATTAATTAAAAGGAAATCTGAGTCTCAGTGCAGTATTCTTCCCCAAAGAGGTGCTTCTCAAACCTTCTGAACATTAGAATCAGCTTAAACAAACAAAAAAGGCTGAAACACCACAACATAACCTAAAAGTCCAGGCCTCACTTCACAACTAAATCAGAATCTCAGGGTGGAAGTTAAGGTCTGGGCACATTTTTGTTTTCAAACTTCCCAGATGATTTGAATGTGCTGCCAGGTGGTTCTTTATTAGAGCAAGATTGCTAATCAAGCAACTACAGGAGGATGCTACTGTCATCTGTTGGGTAAAGGCCATGGATGCTGCTGAAGTCCTCCAACACCCAGGACAGGCCCAAAGAACAAAAAAGAGCTGTTAATCTGAGGTCACTTAACTAGAAACTACCACTTTTCCAAGGTTAAAAGAAAAACCTCAGAAGAAACAGCAAACACTATACTTATTTTCATGAAGTAAATGTCATTAGAAAAGTAAAAAATCATTTATTCTTGTCATACTAAATGAAATAGGAAATGGAATAATTTTTCCAAAATACAGGGGCAGAAAATAATGTCTAAATATCTGGTCCAATATTTGCCTTACAAGTCAAAGTTTCAAATTTATCTACAAAAAAATAACTGAATAGAGAACACCTCAGTCATTGGCTTAACACTGTATTCCTGTTACTAGATACCTAGTAGTCATTCAATTAATGCTTGTGGAATTGAAGTGCAATACTAGGTAAGAATTGTGAGCTCCCCAATGCATTGTTTTCATCTTAAAACTCTAACATAGTAGAAATTTTGTGATCAGTCACCTTTGCTTAAAAGGTTAAAGCTTCTTCATAACCACCTTAAAATCAATTATGAATCACACACATCATAAAAAGACCTTAATGATAAATGAAGGTAAAAACAGTACACAAGGAAAGAGAAACTAAAAAACCAAAACTAACTACAAAATCTGATACATTATTACCTTTAAATGTGGCTACCGAGCGAGCATAGGAAAACTAAGAATGACTAAAAAAATTCTATGCAAGTGACAAATCACTAAATATAAAAAGAATACAATTAATCCCTCTTAACCATTGCAACAGTGGTATCTATTCTCTAACATACAAGGGTTTGGTGTAGAACCTACTTAAAAATTATTAAATAAACTGTAAAATTTATTAAGTCTGGCAATTTTTGTTGTTTTACTTATGTTGTGAGCAGAATTATACAACTTAATGCCAACATGCATGGTTTTGTATAAGCTGGAATTTTATAGATCAAACACAGTGGCATCTTGAAAATGTAACCCACAGAGCTATAAGCAAGCAAAGCTGGACTATTTAAGTCACAATGTAACAAAAGGATATAATTTTTTTTTATCCAAATTCTCTGAGTTTTCATAAAATCAATCCCCATAAATTTGATCTATTAACATTTTAAAACATTTCAGATCACTACCAAATGGACTAAGTTTTGATTTCCTTCCTTTTGTGCATGGTTGGGGATTGAACCCAGAGTCCTATGCATGCTAGGCAAGCACCCTTACCATTGAACCCAGCCCTTGAAATCTCAATTTTTAAGGTGTAGATATGGGCTCTACTAGCCAGTCCTACAGATGGAGAAAATAACATAAATGACATTCAAGAATGTGTTTATCCTTCTAGGCTCAGCTCACATATTCAACAAATATTTCTTTACTGCTTATTATATGTCAGATACCATTCAAGGCACCAGTGCAATGCAGTCTCACAGGTCTTGGTGAGAGGATGCAAATTGCTCAAACAGAAAGAAACAACAGCCAATGGCAAATATGGTGACCGAGCACTTGAAATGTGGTGGTTACTGGAATAGGGGAACTGATTTTTAACTTTGACTTAATTGACTCAAAACAAAACAGTAAAATGTGTCTAGTGGATCCCTTATGGGACAGGGCAGTCCCAAAGTGCTATAGAGGTAAACAAGATAGAAAAAAATCCTGCCTTCATGAATTTACAATTCGGTGTGACCCAAAGTTAGTAAATAAATAAACTAATAAATACATATCAAGTGGTGATCACAGAGGCCTCTCTTAAGAAAACATGGATTAGATACATGCCCTTCTATACGCTCCCATGAACTCTACACTAATATACAACTTTACTGGAACTTGTCTTATTTAGCTGTATTACAATACCTACCATAATAAATATATTTTTTGACCACGTGTGCAGAAGCAATCTGTAATTCCCCAAACTAATCTAGTAGTACAGTACTCAAAATACCAATCTGTTTCTTTTCATCCAGTCCCATGCAGTTCTGAAGCCTCACTTTAAAACGCAGCAATGCGGAGCCAAGTATCACCTCTTCCTTTCGCTTTCTCAACCCCAGCTTTACTGTGAATCACATTCCTTAGCTAACTCTAACTTTACCAAAGGCAATTGCAAATTCACTTAACGAAATGTTTCACGCAACACTGCACCTCTTTTGTTTACCATTGGATTTACAATTCCTGGAAAGTAAATTTCTACTCATACGTTACAGGCTCGCCACTGCTCCTACACACCAAAACTACATTTACTTCCAATTACGCGATACTGACTACAGAAGAAAGAGAAGCATAGGAGCTTTATGTTTTCCTTTTATACCATAAATAACGAAGCAAACTGAATCAAGGGATCTGGGAAACGAGTGAAAAGGAAGCTCAGAATAAACAAAAAAATGGCTGTGTAACAAGACGGAAATTTAGGATTCCCAAAAACCTTCCACTTAGAGCTTTCCAAAACTTTCAGCCGTACTTCGGGGGTGCAAGGGTGACTGCAATTCCGCCTGAGACTGGTGGGAGCGGTCAGAGTCGCTGGACTGCAGTGTAGCCCCTGCAGACGCCCAGTTCTCATTCCAGCCCCTCCACTGCGTCTTTCCGAAGGGGCCGGGCTGCGCTGTACGCCCTCCAGACTGTAACCACGAATTACCTGCTGGTCTCCAACGAAGAGTAGCGCTCCGGCAAGACCTGTAGGCAGCGCTGGAAGAACCGCACGTGCCTGTCCCGCAGGAAATCCAGTCGCTCTCCCTCACCGCTACCAGGAAGCCGCTCATCCTCCGTGGCCGCCATGCTGCCCCGGAAGTGATGTCCACCGCGACCAGGAAGCAATATTCGTAAAGGGTAATCAAGCCCTCACTAATGACCCGGATGTACTGGGTCGCAGACCAACTAGATGATGGGAGCCATATACTGTAGACTGCAAATGTACAGCATTTTCTACTTTGAGCGCGCAGAGGTTCGCAAATAGTTAGGTCTTGTAGAATCCAGCCTGTAAATTCGTTAAAACTTTGGTCCTAGTGGGATATTTGGGAGGAAGGGCAAGTACAAGAGCTTCAAGTTCGTTTTGCCAAAGTACAGGCCCTAGAGAATGTTAAAAGGTAGTTCTGAAAATAGGGATGGATCAGCATAAATTTGCTAATAAGAGTCATTTTTTGGGGGGGGTGCAGCGTGGGGGCTAACACATTTTTAAGCTTAACAGGGAAACTAAACCTAATTAAAATGGTGAATATAAACATGCTTTTTATGTAATTGTGAGCACTACAGAAGTTGAGATTTACCTAACTTTCTTTGGAATGACCAGAATCATTTAAAAATAAATGTATAAGGCTGGGGGTGCAGCTCAGTGGTGGAGCACTTGCCTAGCACCACATGAGACCTTGGGGTTGATCCTCAGCACCACATAAAAATAAATGAATATTATGTCCATCTACAACTAAAAAAAAATAAGTAAATGTATAATCTTCAACTTACCAAAGTTTGACGAAATGATTTTTCAATAGAAATCATACTTTAAATTCTGACACCACCTCTCCACAACCCAGCTTAGCAATATGTAATAGGATACTCTCCTAAGGCTGGGCCTAGGGTTGGGAGGCATAGTCAGTCAGGACCAACCAACACTCTTAGGGTATTAAAATACATAGTGTAATATTCATAGTAGTGCCAAGCTAGTATGTATCAAATTAGGTGTATTAATTGCATTAAAAAAGGTTTATTGGAATGTAATCCTATCATAGAGCACTTATATATATGCACTATACACACCTTATACATAACTTACATAATCATTTGTGAGACTGCATTTTTTTTCTTTCACAAATCTTACATATTTAACACCTGTGTCCAAGTGTCATCAGGAGTCATTGTTGCATCAATTCCCAACAGCAAAATAAGCTCAACATATTCTCCAACCATATACTAAAGACAGAATAAGGTGGTTCATTTTTCAAAAAATGGGGGTTTAAGTTACCTCTACTATGTACTTTTTCCTTTAAAGATTCATGAGGCAGAGGCCGGGGTTGTGGCTCAGTGGTAGAGTGCTCACCTAGCATGTGTAAGGCACTGGGTTTGGTCTTGAGCACCACATAAAAATTAAATAAAGGTATTGTGACCTCCTAATATATATATTATCTGTGTGTATGTGTATATGTATGTATATATATGATTCATTCATGAGACATTCTTGGGGAAGAGAAGGATCAAGTCTAAACAGCTTCTTTAAAATTAACTTTCTTATTAGAAATTTGGGTATACTTTTGTTAGCTTTCTTAGAAAATATTTTATTTAAAAATGTGCCTAATGGCTGGTGTTTTATTTATTCAACAATTGAAGGCTCCTTGAATGATTTTTGCTACTATTAACTACTTATTCACAGGCATTCCTGTATTTCTTTAATAAATAATGCATTGACAAACAGCATGATGGTCCCAGTGTTGACCTTGGTGCTTTGCTACAAATATAGAGCTCACAGTCCCTGTCCTTCAGTTATGACAGGAGTTTTCACTGTTATTACAATTAAGATCTCTCACACACATGACATACAACACATACATAGATACCTGAAGATGTTAAAAACTGAATCACAACACTGATTTAATTTACTAGAATCAACTGTGCATGCTCTATACATGATTGGCAATTCTCATCAACATAATCCTTAAATTAGGGAAGCCAAATATTTCATCTTGTTCTTAAGCTCAAGAGCTAGCAATTTAGTATGAAATTAAAGTAAAAGGTTGCTATGCTGGACTCACTGAAAGATATAATACATCTCCTAAGTAAGTAAAAGCCTTTTCATGAGTGACTCTGACTATACAAAATGTTTGGTATATGCACGACAGAATCTAACTTCCACATAAAATGTCACTGTACATAATTAGCTAAGTACAGATAGCTCAAATCTTATGACACAGTATCTATAAATCAATTATTTAGCCATTAAATGATAATGTTGAAGCCAGGTAGGGTGTCAGTGCATACCCAGAGAGTTGGTAGTCTGAGGCAGAAGGATCACAAGTTTGAGGCTGGCCTAGATGACTAAGAGAGACCCTGTTTCAAAATTAAAAATAAAAAAGGGCTGGGGATGTAGCTAAGTGGCAGAACGTCCCTGGGTTCAAAAATCCCAGCACCAAAAAAAAAAAAAAAAAAAGTTAGAATTATGTGGAAAATATGCATAATGTATTAAGTGATATGTGCCTCCATGTATCTGTTGTAAAATACATATTGTTATATTTTAGAAAACTGTTGTCTTGGTATTATAGATGCTTTGTAACATTTCTTTAGTGTTTTCTTTCTAAACTTCTTATTAATATACTATTTATTTATTTATTCTAATTAGTTATACATGACAGCAGAATGCTCTTCGATTAGTTGTACACAAATGGAGAATTTTTCACTTCTCTGGTTGTACCCAAAGTAGAGTCACACCATTCATGCAATCAGTCTCATTCCATCATCCTTCCTATTCCCATGCCTCTCCCTTGCTCCCTTTTGCCCCACCCCAAATTCCTCCACTCATCCCATGCCCCGCTCCCCATTATGGATTAGCATCCACTCATCAGAGAAAACATTTGCTCTTTGTTTTTTTGTGATTGGCTTACTTTGCTTAGCATGATATTCTAACTCCATCCATTTATTATTAATATACTTTAAACCAGGGTAAGAAATGTATATTTGACATCTCATCAATGAACCTATAACTAAATACATTTTAGATTATGTTTATCTATATTCTTTTTTTCCCCAGTGTGAGGACTGAACTCAGAGCCTTGTGTGTGCTAGGCAAGCACTCTGCCATCCTACATTCTTTATGCAGGGATCTATATAACAAATTCCTCATTTACTTCAAATTCAGTCAGAAAGACTGATTTTCTTCAGAGAAACATCCATACTTTATTAAAAATAAGTAAATAAACAGGTAAATAAAATAGAACAGGGTTGGGAGTATAGCTCAGTAGGGAAGCATGTGCTTAGCATGGTTGAGGCCTTGAGTTCAATCTCCAGTGCTGATACAAAACACCCCAAAATAAACAAAAGCCACAAGAAACACATCAATCAGAATGCTTAGCTTAAATGTAGGAAACTGAATGCTGCATTTGTGTACAACAAAAAGCAATGGAAGAAAGATTTACTTTTATGTATCTTGTAGCTGGTTCAGTTCTGTTGTTAAATTCCCTATCTTTCACATTTTATTTTTGAACTACTTCAAATCATCTAAAAGACTTATGTGGAACAAATAATATAAATACAATGGACATTTCCAATTAAAGATTGTTTGAATTGGTTTTCTCATAAATACCAATAACTATACAATTAGAATTCTATTTCTAAAATTTGGAATCTACATACTTTGAAATATTAACTGTTATACTGGAAAAGGTTTTGACCACTATGAGTCATTTAGCCCATCTGTAACAAATTAAAATTAAAAGATACTTTAAGGGCTGGGGATGTAGCTCAAGAGGGGGCACACTTGTCTGGCAAGCATGGGGTGCTGGGTTCGATCCTCAACACCACATAAAAATAAAATAAAGATATTGTGTCCACCTAAAACTAAAAAAATAAATATTAAAAAAAGATACCTTAAGATAAAATTATAAGAAACAACTTTTTGGTAGTTTTATGAATACAGCAGGTTTCCTATAAGATGAAAACTAATTAGGGTTAGGATCTAAGATTTTATAATATGAAAAGTTGAATTCAGTAAAATTGTGTTTTCATTTATAAAAGTTTAGAAATTTAAAAATAAACTCTTTGGACCAATATATTTGCCTAGCAATTTTGAAACATTTTAAATGCTACCTAAGAAAAAAAGTATTTTAAAGCTGGCTTATTTCAGATGATATTTCAGAACAAAAAGTTTCTATTTTGAGGCAAACAGAGCAGAAATAAAACTGCATTAACCAGTAAGATGTGAAAGACACAAAGATTTTATAAACATATGAAGTTCAGAAAGAGTGAATGGCAATTGGGAATAGCTAAAGGAAATCAAAAGGATGATAGCAATAATACAATTAATAGGGAATTTGAGGTGCAAGGTATATTTTAAAAGTATTCTCTATATAAAACAATGCATGCTTCAAACAAATACAAAATGTTTATTACACAAAAATGTAATAACTGACAAACTAACAATCTGTTAAACTTAGAAAAAAATACTAAGTTATATCATAACTCTTTAAAAAAAGACACTTTATATTTTTGTTACTTAAGCTAACTTACTTCAAAGTTATAAAAATTATAAAATTTTGGTTTAAAAAATGTCTATGATTACCCCCAATTTATTTTGCTACACATGACAAAAAAACAAAATAACTTTGAAATGTTTTGAGTATTTAAATGGAATAAAGATTGAACATAAACTTATTTAAATAACTTTTACATCAATAATAGGCCAACATACACCTTAAATGTCCTCTTAGTAGAAGCAGGAAATACTAATGACAATGCTGCATGAAACTTAAAAATATCTCTCAATTCACGTACAGCACAATAATCAATCTGGTTAAGCTAGTAATATTTAAAGAATATGGTTAGTTATTCTCTTAGTATAACTGAATATGCTAATATCCTCGAAACATAAATAGCAATTCAGTTATCTCACATTTTCTATATTCCTTGTCTCCAGGTTGGAATAGCCCTATGAAGAAAAAGAAAAAAGCAATCACAAATACAAGAAAAAAATTTAAAGACCTAAACACATCTAATTATATGTTAACTGCTAAAAATGTGTATAGATTTACTTTATCAACCTCATAACTAAATATAATATAGAAATTGTATAAAATATAAACATGCAGCTATGAAATTTCTCTAAAGTGACCATCCCTTCTAACCCCTTTTTACCTATGTGGGATATGTAGAAGTGGCCCAGAGCCTGTTGGTCCTATCTTTTTGGTTCGCTCTTTCCAACCTTTGGTAGGTTTGTAAAGCCTAGAGGGATCTCTACTAACATTATTTTCAACCTGTAATCAAAAGCAAAATAATGCCAATTAACTTATATGAACTAAGTTTGTATTTCAATGAGTAAGATCCTTAGTAACATAACATAAAGCAGTTTTAAAAAAACTTACTTGATATCAGCTAAATGGTAATAAAACTGTTAACCTGTTCAGTAAACTTCTAATTTAAACTTCTAAAATAAAATTTGGACTACAGCAATTTACTAATAAAACATTAGTCTATTTTTTTAGTTCTATTATTTTGTTCTTTTTCTATTTTTTCTCTTTCTACTATGAGAAAAAATATAACTTTTTATATAGCTAAGTTTAATATTGATATAGCCAGACAATAAATTTATGATAAAGTGAATCCTCTGCTTAATCCTTAGGGGTCATCAATGTCTTTAGTTCTGAGTATTACCATTGAGATTCAAAATGCTCACAGCTGCCACAAGTATAAAAAACAGGTTCATATAGAAAGGATTAAAAGAACAGCAAGTAGGAAGAGAGAGATTTCAGGGTGAAAAAAAAAGGTTACTTAGAATGATAGAGGGCTGGGGTTGTGGCTCAAGTAGTAGAGTGCTCGCCTAGCACATGTGAGGCACTGAGTTCGATCCTCAGTTTCACGTGGATACAATAAAAATATTGTATCCACCTAAAACTAAAATAAATAAATATTTTTTAAAAAGAATGTAAAATGATAGAATTCAAATGATAGTTTTAAAATCATATGCCTATGTTTTCTAATATATAAACAGGAAATTTAAAGTATTTAAGTATAAAAACCATAAGAAGAAAATACATATGATGTCAGTATGCTTATAAACCAAGGAATTAAGATAGGAGTGGGAGGGGAAAGGTTAATCAATGAATACCAAATAATAGTTAGGAGCAAGCTCTGGTGCACAGTAGGGTAACTGTCAATAACTGTACATTTCAAAAAGTTAAAAGAAAGAATTTTCAGGCTGGGGTTGTTGCTCAGTGACACAGCACTTGCCTAGCATGTGTGAGGCACTGTTTTTGAATTTTTCAGAAGTTTTGTCATAAAGAAATGAAAATGCTCGAGATCGCTGTTTAACCTTATTTAACTTTACAGAATGTATATATGTACTGAAATAGCACGTGGCACCCCATTAATAATTTTTACATTTTCATGTAGTTTCTTTAAAAAGAAATTAACCTCAGTACAGAGTACCTTCTCTTTTAATTTTGCCATTCTTCTTTGTTTTTCTGCCTTTTCATCTTCCTTTGCCTGTCTGTCTAGAATTTTCAATTCAAGTTTATGTAAATCCTAAAAAAAAAAAAGATTATATTAAGAAAATGAAATTAACCTGAATTTGTTTACAATTTAGTTGTTGGAAAATAAAATAAATTACCTTAACTATCAATACTCTTTCAATATTCACCTTTTCCAACAAAGGCTAAAAACTTTATTTGTTCTAAACATAACTATAACATGTACATCCTTTATGTATATTTTTAGGTGTCACTTTAACTTGTTTCACTTTAAGGTTCAACCTAAAATTCCTCCCCCCCCCCTCTCTCTCTATACACACACACACACACACACACACACACACACACACACACACACATATTTAGTTGGAGACAAACACAATACCTTTATTTTATTTGTTTTTATGTGGTGCTGAGGATGGAACCCAGTGCCTCTCACACACATGCAAGGCAAAATGCTCTACCAACTGATCTACAATCCCAGCTCAAATTCCTTTTCTTATAATACATAAGTTAAGCCCATTTTCATTTATCAATACAGATATGTCTAGTTTTAGATTATTAGTTTTCTTTTTTCTAAGTCTTTCATTATGTGCCCTAATTAACTTTTTGGGGAGTGAGAAGGCATGAAATCTTTTATTATTCAGAAAGAATTTTATAGGTAGACTAAAAAAATGAACTAAAATTTCTAATATGAATGTATTTGTCTATTATTTATACTTCCACTAATTTTGCTTTATTAATGTTGCTGCTATATATTTTGATGCACATAATAATGCATAAGTTACATGCATAAGTTGTATCTTACTTGCATCCTTTTGCATTTTAAAAACCCTGCTTTGTCTTCATACTTTTTGGACTGTATTCCACTTTGTCTTTACTAACATTTTTTCTGGTATATATGTGTTGAAAATTACCTACAGTCCTATTAACTAGCAATAACCTAAGAGTTTTTTAACCCATTAAGTCCCAAGGTTTCAATTCTGCAAATATAATTTCAAAGTTACCATAAGTGGTATATTTGCTGCTTAATTTAAGTTTTATAAGCGTTTCACATCTGGGATGATGAGACAAAATAGAATAAGTATATATCAAGTATCTATAGTACACCATGCTGTTACACTCTTCCAAAATGCTATTCATGGTATTCCCTCGACTAGGAAAGATTTCTCCCTCTAGAATCAACCCAAGCATCAACTTCTTTCTAACTCTCATAGCTGTGGGAAACAGCCCTGTATCCACCTCCTAAAGTTCTCTGTCCATACCTCAATCATTGCACTATTTACCACTTGACAGTGGAATCTCCTAACCCACTAGATGTTAGATAGCATGGCTTACTTATTTTAGTATGGTAATGTGAAGCACAGGTTTGATATATAAGCCTTTCTCAACTTTTGCTTAATTGAATCTTGAAATAATACTTCCATGTATTATTTAGGAAATATATTTACTCACTCTTTCTTGAAACCTGGAAATTTCATCAGCAGCAGTTTTCCTTTTTTCTGCCTTTTCTGCCTTTTCTCTTATCTCCTTTTCAAGCTTCAAAACTTCTTCCTGTTCTTTCTTCTGCTGGGTATAACTTTCTAGTAGTAATTTTAGTTTAAACTGGCGTTGGCGTTCTTTCAGCTGCTTTTTCTCTTTCTCTTCCTCTTCTTTTAATTGGGAAGAAGCACATTTCATTGACATTTCTATACTTTTCTGTTTTTTCCAAGCTTCAACTGCCAATTTCTGTTTCTTTCTTTGTTCTTCTTTTTGCTTTTGATTATCGTCTGGTTTATTATGAAAGGGCACAGGTATGTTGTCTACCTTTTCTTTTAACTTGAAAATTTCCTCCCTTTTTTGCTGCTTTTTACTTTTCCAATTCTGAATAGACTAGATAGTTAAAAAAAAAAAAGACAGCAAAAGAAAAACGTTTACTCTAAAGTTAATTTAAAATACAACTACAATTCCATCTTTCTAGAAATAATAACAATTATAGGATGCTGAGTGCTTAGAGTTTTAAGTTCTGTTTTATTTGAATCAATAAAATTTTTTTTCTACTTCCATTTAAAAATATTACCATTTTAAAACTCTGACTAGTAGGTCATTCTTTTGGCCTTCCTTTTCCTGTCTATATCCTTAGGTTCACAAGGACTGTACTTATTCTCCTCTTTACCTGCTCTGTTTTCATGGGCAAAATCCCTTTCCTCTAATCATTTCACTTCTGCTTACAAATTCTTTTTCTAGAATTAGCCTACATTCTGAGTGATTTTTTTCCCTGGGCAAATATCAGAAGAGGAATAAAAATGAGGTAGTTTAAGAGTAAAGAGCCCTGAAGTCAGACTACCTGGAATCAAATCTTGTCTTTGCCATTTACTAGATGTGACCTTGGATAAATCACTAAACTACTCTGTTTTCATTTTGCTCATCAGTAAAGTAGCAGATGGTACTTATTACGCATGGCTATTGTGAAGACTAAATAAGGCAGTATCTGGAACCACAGTGCTTCATAAGTGTAAAAAAACAAATAATAAAATAGTTCAATATCTGTACATATTGGTTATGGAAAGATTATTTAAAATTCTAATGGCCTTCTCAATGCCACATAGGATATAACTGCTGCATTACCTTCCCCCCAAGTCAGGAAACCATTGTCATCTCACCATGTGCCATTCATTCATTAAATCCATATGGAATGTATATTATATACAAGGCAATGGGACAGTATCCATAGATGATTAGACAATACCAAATACCATTTAGTATAATGCACTCAAAGTGACAATCCAAAAAAATATCCGAGATTCATGACAATGTAAATCAATTCACTTCTGCCTTCAATGAGCAAATTTTTTTATGGAAAAAAAAATCAACTAAATTAAATAATGTGCTTACTGGGTAACTGATTTTCATGCAATCACCTTATCTCATTATAAACCAGTAAGTTTACAAACTAATATCCAGTTCATGGACCAAGTTTAAGCAGCATTATTCTTGGGGAGATACAACATGAGCATGCCATAGCACATCATTAAAAAAAAAAAAAAAGTATAAACACTGTGTTAGTGAAAGTGTGAGGAGGAAGACTGTTTGGGTGGACAAGGAGAAGGCAGCATCTGCTCTGCACAGATTTTGATAAGCTGAGCATTGAGGACAAAAGAACAGAGGCACATAAAGTAAGAACAAGGTACTGGAGGGCACTGAAAAAGTTCAGAGTATGTCTGAAAATGGTAAGTTATCTTCATTCACACAAAACACAGGCTATACAAAAGGAAGTGGAAGACAGAAGTGTTAATCTTCTCTTGAGTCTCTAAAAATGACTTACAATTCAAAAATATTTCTTAAACTCCCTGAATCAATCTCCCTACATGCATTTAATTTAAAGGGTGGGGGGACAATGACAACAACAATGAAAAATGCAGCTATATGAATCAATATTTCTTTGCTGCTCCTTAGGTGTGTCATCTGTTGAACAGACATGCATTTTTTTGTTAAACAAAGCAAGTTAATGTTCATCAGAGCTGAAGGCTGCAAAAACAAAAAATTTCAAAGAAACTTTTAATACTTAAAAGTACTTTCTCCTCTGCTTCTTGATTTTCTATCCAAGATAATGTGGCCTTTGCTGGTAAGATGATTTTCAAAAGTCTGGGTAGATCTGAATTATACAGTTCCAGGAAATGGACACAAAGTGTTTTGCCTACAGTTATTAGTTTTAATGCCCCTTGTGTAGTTTCTTAGGGGTAGAAATGTTTGGCCTTGAGGAAGCCCAACTGTAGTTCCATTACTTAGGTAAAATTATTTCTTATTAGCTCAGTTTCATCTTCTGTAAGATAGGGTAAAAACAACTACAAACATACTTAACAGGGTTGCTACAATGTTAATAATAGTTAATGACAGTTAAGTTTAGAACAGTGCCTAGAACAGAGAAACATACAATGAATAACAGCTATTATTATTACCTCTTTTTTTCTTTCCTCTAAAGCCAGAAATTTTTGATACCAATTCTCATGCTGCTGAACTTCATCCTGTGTTCTTCCTGGAAGGTATTCAAGAACCTCTTCCACAAATGCTGGCTTCCCTTTATGTTTGTTTCTCACCTTTACAAAGTTCTGGTGATCATAGTCATCCCAACCCCCTTGTCGCCCTCCTGTTTGCTGAAGGAATTTTTCAAAATCTACTACTTCTTCTGGAAGAGTACTTGGTATCACTTTGTCTACAGGAACTTTGCTTGAGATTGCTCTGAAAGCTTTCTCTGTTTCTGAATTACCCAAAGCCCATAAGTCAATTTTTCTTGATATGGCATTCAACTCATTATTCGTTGTTTTCTCTTCTTTAATAAGCTCTTCATATCTAAAATTTTAAAAAGTTTGAAGATAAAAATCAAACCATTTTAATATTCCAATTTCCCTCAAATTCAATTATTCCTGATTCTTCATATCGTCTTCCCTAATTGACATTATTAACATTTATAAATCTAAGCCTCAAGTTTCCTCAAAGATAAAAACAATCTTTCGATTCTTATTTGACATTTTATAGTATCTAAATATGAATGAAAATTTCCTAAATAAACCCTAAGACAAAAGGAGAGGTGTTATATTGCTTTTGTGTAAGATTAAAATACAAACAATAATATGATTGTATACAACAACTAGTGGTGAGTTACTGAAAACTAAAGGTCCGTGATTTTATATTAAAATGAGCTTAAAAATGAGCTTAAAACATACATAAGTCTCTGTTCTTCTTTAAAAGTATTAATTGCATTTTCAATTTCTTCCATCATTTCTCTGAGCTTTTCAACAACTGTGAAAAGAAAAAAAAAAACCAAAGCCATGAACAAATTATTTTGTTATACAGTATAGCTGAAAATTAAGAATTTTGTCTTAAAAATTAAGACAAAAAAGTAGAGTGTTTCCCTAATTTAAAGATACTTCTTGGCCTAAGGAATTAATAAACCTTTGCTCAAAAGTAAACTTTTATGATTGCAATTTTTTTATTACAAATAATTTTCCTATGCACCCATAGCATTAAATGTTATAATTAATATTAGTTTTTATAAAAAAATTTCAAAATATACTGTTGTTTGACTTGCAGTTTTCATTTAATAAAATTTTGCAGTTAACAAAATATTGTGATTAACTTTTCACACACATTACTATCTCATTTTTTCTGTGTCTATATTTGGCTACATCTATTGTAATTCATTTAATCTACTCTCCAATTGATATTCTTTTAAATATATACAATACCATAGTAAAAATCCTTGCATATATATTTTAGCATGCTCAAATAAGTGCTCTTAGAGAATAACTGATAAAACTTGAAATGCTAAACAGAAAAGTTTACAATATGCTAGATACTGTCATCTTGTTCTTCAAAGATGCTATACCAATTCATTGTTTCTGAGAGAGCCCCTTCCTATATACTTTTAACCATTTCCAAAATGAAGCAAAAATTTATCATCACTGATTTAGCTAACATTTTTGTGATCATTAATAAGCCTGAGCATTTTTATATGTATTTTGAATTCCTGTATACCTTAAATCTTATGCTAATTTTTCTATTAGGCTGTTTATCCTGGTTGCTCTAATTCTGGCATTCTATATATATTATGGATGTTGGCTTTTTAAATTATATATTGTTAATACTTTTCTAATTTGTTTATCACGTTTGCTTATAGGTTTAAGTTTTTTTAAGTACTTTTTTCTTTATATTCTGTTCTTATCCTTCTAAACATAATATGATTATAAATATGTTAAACCATGTTCTATTCTAATATTTTTGGTTTTATTAAATTTAATGAATAATAGCTACACTCTTCATAACACCATGAGAACTGAAAAAAATGAAAGTTTAAGTAATTTTCCTAAAATTTAAAATTACATAACAGATGACAGATCAAGGGTTTGATCAACATCTGTCTTAGTCCATAATCTTGAGCACTTTCCTTTATTGCTTAGAACCTTTGGAAATCAATGTTGATATAAACAAGGAGACAAGGATACAACTTTTTCCCCTAAAACTAGCATTTGCCCTAAAACAATTGAACCTTTTCTTACATATTTGAAATGCCTCTGAAAGGTAATTATTTCAAAAAGCAAATGACAGAAAAAGCACTAAACCAGAAATCAGAAGTCAGCCTTATTTTTCCCCCTTAATTAACTCAATCTAAACTACCTGTACCATAAGTTCTCTACCTTACAAATGACAATAATATAAGGTATTTTACCTTATAATTTTTAAGGATTTGATAGCACTCTAAGGATTAAAAAAATAAAAAGCCTATATAAATGCCAGGTACTACAGTTCTCCAAAATGACCTTATCAATTCCCAACCAATAAAGTAGGTATAGCCTCATTAACGCCAAGTAGGAAAATAGACATTTCATATTAGAAAATTATAAATTTTTCTAATGAGCAAGAGGAAAATATTAATATATAAAAAACTCTAACATTTGAATTTACTTACAATCAGGTGTAGGCTTCACATCTTTTAACTGATACTGAAGTTTCTTCACATTGTTATGTATTTTGGCCAATTGTTGCTGGATTTTTGCTCCTGTAAGGAAGAAATACATATTGTAAAATTACTTTGTGACAAATGTAGTTGCATTAGGATTCTACACATAAGACTGATCACAATCATTTAGCAAAAGATAGTGAAGAACAATTAAAGAATAAAAGATGTTTATATCAAAGTCATCTGAATACTTTAGGTACCTTTTCTCTAAATAAAGCATCTCTTAATTTTCTCCAATATTTAAAAGCATAGTGTGTTACATTTTATTATACATGTGTGCCAAGGAAATGTCTTTTTTTTCCCTCTGTGGAGACTGAGTTATTACACATTGTTTTAAATGCAAGATTAGAAGCTTAAGCTTAGCATGTTTTGTTCTTTAAAATAATTTTTCTTTCTTTTTTTGGTAGTGGTGATTGAACCTAGGGCACTTTACCACTGAGCTATATGTCTAGTCCTTTCTATTTTTTATTTTGAGATAGTGTCTTGCTCAGTTGCTGAGGGCCTAAGTTGCTGAGGCTGGCCTCAAACTTGCAATACTCTTGCCTCAGTCTCCCAAGTTGCTGGGATTACAGACAACACCAATGGGCCTGGCTAAAAGCATTTTTTAACTTATTGTAATTTATGGAAATAGAATTTGCTCTTAACTATCTTGTGGGAATACTAAAACTATCTAGCCAGTACTAATTCTATGGATACTGACAAACTCCCCATTGAGGTTTAAATTCATCTAAATGCATTTTCTAAGACAAAGGTGAGTGATACTTAGTAGTGTCACTGTCATGCCCCTGAAGAGGTCCCTCAGGTGCCATTAAGTGGTATCTATGATTCAGGTGCCAAGCTCCACCAAAGGAATATCCTGAAGTAAAATGTTAGGCCCAGAATAAAAGTCTGGAAAACAGGTTAAGACCATTTTCAAATGGTCTTGATCAGTAGTAGAAAGACTAGATTCTTCTTTCATATTCTTTTATGAAGTAGTAATTTTCTTTAATACTTGTTTTTTAGTAGGCTTATGTTGTAAATATTCATATTCATGGATACATATTCATATAACAGTAATATTATTATTTTATCAGCATTGGGTACTTTATGCACCCTCTTCTTTTTGTTTTTACCCCCTGGGGGGGGTACCAGGGATTAAACTCAGGGGCACTCGACCAGTGAGCAACATCCCCAGCCCTATTTTGTATTTTATTTAGAGAAAGGGTCTCACTGAATTGCTCCGAGTCTCACTTTTGCTGAGACTGGTTTTGAACTCATGATCCTCCTGCCTCAGCCTCCATGGCCACTGGGATTATAGGTGTGCACCATCGTGCCCAGCTGTTTTTGCAACTTTTGATAAATGAGCATGAAATATCAAAAGGCTCTGTCCTTAAAGGCACTCTATTTTATTTATTTGCAATGTTGGGATGGAACTCAGGACTTATATACGCAAGCCAAGCACACTATAATTGAGCTATGCCCCCAGCCCTGGCAATTACTATTATTATTAATATTATTAATTTTTAAGTTTATCTACAGTCTTAGAGCCAGGACTAATATCTAGAACAAGGCTCCGAATATTTATATGGCTTTGTTCTATTTTTTAATTAACATTTGAGTGTTCCATAAAAGACATTTTATCACATTTATTTTATATAGTCTTGATCACTATTGAAACTTTAAGCCAAGAAACTTCTCTAGTAAGTTTAAATAATTAGGAAAGAATTTTTTGTTGTTTTATTAGCTTGACCAACTATAGCAAAAATCATTACAGGGCAAACAACCTTATTTTATTTATCCATTTGGAACTGATACTCTACATAGCCAAAGAGCAACAAAATATAAATTCAGGCTAAAACTGAGGCATGAATATTTGTAATAAGGAATAGGTATTTCTGAGCTATGATCTATAAAGTGGAAGTTTCTAAATCTTTATACTAAAACAACCCATTCTTTCCTCTCTTAGGTATGTATAAAGTCTTAATAACAAAAGGCAAAACTATAGAAAAAGGGAAAATAAAAAGATAAAAACAAAGTTGTCTTTAAAAAGAGAAAATCAAGCGGCCTTTTAAAATGCACAAATTGAGATACTCTACTTAAGAACATAATCAAAGGGTTGGGGTTGTGGCTCTGCAGTAGAGTGCTTGCCTCAAATGTGTGAGGCACTGGGTTCAATTCTCAGCACCACATATAAATAAAAAATAAAGGTCCATCAATAACTAAAATGAATAAAATAAATAAAATTTTTTAAAAAGACTATAACTAAGACATGAAAGATTAGCTTCCCACTTGCCTGCCAAAAAAAAACTAAGAAATATTAATCAATATTAAATCAGCAAAGTCTAAATTTCTGTATGACTCAAAGAAGAGAGAACTGGAAAAGTGCTCTCAATATTAGATCCTGTTGTCATTCCAATAGAAGAAAGGGAATAATTTGTCACTACCTGACAAAAGATGACTTCTAAAAATAGTATAATTTTGTATTGTGGAAGAGAAAAGTTAGTTATTAGGAATTTATTTTAATTGGTGATAAGAGTACCATGAATAATCTAATCTCTACATAGTAAGTCAACATGTTATAAATCTTAGCTAATTGATTGATAACCATTATTTTTCCTATAAGCAATGCTAAATAGCTTTTCTATTAAATAGATTTCTCAACATAAAAATTTAACTTTACAGGGTATTCTCATAGAATTCTTTAAGCCTAGCATTTACTATACAGTTGAAATGATTAATTTTCATAACCAACAATAGAACATATTCACCATAATCTATAAGGCACTTTCTTACATATTATCTCTATCAAGGTAGAAATGGTAGGTTTCAAAGTGCAGATGAGGAAACTCAGGTTTAAATAACTATGTGACATGCTCTCCTCATAAAGTACAGATTGTAAATTTGCTAATACTTACTGAGTCCAGAGGTCAGTTTATAATGCCAGGGTGATGAGCTAAGATCAGATAGCTCAGGAACCAATTTTTTTTTCTTTTCAGGAAATTTTAATAGCATTTACTAATTTGTCAACCAAAACACCAAAACCCTCTCTTTCCTATCAAATTGAAGAAATATGCTTAGAAAACAATCCAGTTAGAATGACTAAACAGTGACCTCAGAGAATAAATACATGTCCCTAAAAAGACAAACTTACTACCAATACAGTCAATGCACAAAGACAAAGACAGGGAAAAACTATAACTTTATTTCACTCAACAGTCTTTAGTTTATCATGAACTCAACTTACTTTCTGTTTTCCTGCTGTTAATCAATTTATTTTCCAATTCTTCCAGCATACTATGCTCAATTCTGAAGTCACTTCTCTGGTTGTAGAAATGACTGTGTTTATCTTTTTCTATGATAATAACTCTTTAGGAAAAGAAACAAATGGTATAAATATGATTTAAATATATTTTAACTGTTTAAAATATGAAGACACTCAAAATAGATTAATTCATTTAAAAAGAATGTAATTACTTAGATTAATGAGATTAAGGAGTCAAAAGAATAGATAGGAATAAGTGCAACCAAAATCAACTGTATTGAATTGTTACTTAAATTATAAAAATGATAATTTAAGAAAATGTGGATATATGAATTTCCTTTGAAAATACACAGGACTTTGGCTATGGATTCCATTTCAATCTTGCTGGGGTCTGAAAAGGGCTGTCACTGCTTTTAGTAGTAGATACTGTTAACTCTGTAACCTTAGCCAAGTCATTAACCTCATTTGATGTGACTCATCTCATGGCTAACAGGATTAATAACAGCTCTTTACTACCTAACAGGATTATAATTAACATCAAATGAGATAAAGTATGTGAGGGATTTTTGTACAATATATAAATATGTACTATGGAAATTCAAGTTACTGATATTAATACTAAACTTCAAGAGGTAAACAATCTACAAAGACAGGAAATTTAGTATATTTCAAGGATATTGTCTTCATTCATTACAAAGCTTCTTTCATCTTATTATTGCTCTTTGGACTTAGTCCATCTATCAGTAAGTAGTTCTAATTGCTAATTTGAGCCCTTGGATAAAACAAAACAAAAGATATACTATTAAGAAAATTTTTTTTGATTGGGCAAAAAAAAATGAATTTTGTTAATGTTAGTTTTCTTTCTCTTACAAAGTGGAATATGAATATCTTTTCCTTAATCCTGGATTTAATGAATGTTGGGGTATCTCTGGCCATTGACTAATTTCATATAACTTGAGGGGCAACTATCAGTCTTTTCCACTTTGCTACACAGAGAAAAATTTACTATTTATGAGGCACAATAGGAGACTGCCCCAGGCCCTAAAGGCAGAGGGGATTATATCTCAGCATGTGTGTATAGGAAGCTTGTGCTGTTTGTGAGAGGAGGCAAGAGGTGGAAGAGAGAGGTTGAACAGACTCATTCCACATGGCATTTCTAACAGATTGAGGGTCACTACTAAGTCCTGTGTGTTAAGAACTGGGAATCCCATGAAAGCTCTGGATGGGGAGCAGGGATAATATTATGATCAAATAGAAACGTCTGCCAAGGACATAGGATACAATATGATAGTGAGTTACATGTTGCTATTGCTAGACTAGAAATACTACCGTGTAAAGACATTCAAAATGTACTAATGGCGACAGATTGCTAAACATATGAAAAGATGTTTAAACTCAAATTAAGAGAAATGCAATTAAAACGTATCATAAGAACACTGCATATCTATCAGATTGGCCAAAAAACCACAAGTTTAAATAATATATTCCAATGGTTAAAACTGTGGGGAGACAGATCTTCTCATGCATTGTAAATTGCCTACGGATGGCAATGCAACAATATTTACCACATTCATGAATTCATATACCTTTGACCCAGCATTTTCTCCTAGGAATTCATCCAAGATATACTCACACATGTGCAAAATAACGTGGACCTATGAGGATGCTGCAATTAATTGCAGCATTGTTTGTTACAATACAACTTACACATCCAAAAATTTAGGACAGGCTAAATAAGTCATGTTACACTCAAATGCCAGTATATAATGCTGCAGGTGTCCCATGTACAGAATAGGAAACCTCTCCAAGAAGAACCTCTTTATAACAATGTTTTTATATAAAAATGTCAAACATGCCCACAAGTAAAGAGTAAATTGACCCCTCATTTACACTCATGATGTGCCCCTCATAGCACTGACTCAGTAATTTTACCTCTCCTTTCATCTATTCTTTCTTTCCTTTGCTCAAGTATTTTGAAGTAAATCCTCTATGCAGTTTTTCTCCAACATACTACCATGTGCATCTCTGTAAATTAAGGATATTTGATATATATAACTACCATGCCATTACAGAACCTGACAAAATCAACAACTCCTTTTTGTCTAAGATATACTCTGAAGTTAAAAAAACCAAGATGCAAATCAGTATGTAGAATATGCTACCATTTACATAAAAGGGACAAATGTGAATATATATTTCCATTTCCTAATAAACACATAAAATCTGTGGAAGAATAAACAAAAAAACTAGTACTACTGGTTGCCTGAGGGGAGAGGAACTAGGGGTGAAACTGAGACTTTCTATTGAGTACCCTTTGATATTGTTTAGAGTTCTGAGACATGTGAATTTATTTCTTACTCTAAAAATAACAGAATGATGAAACAAATTGTTTTTTCCCCAATATTCAAGAAGAATTGAATAGAAATACATTGAGTTGCTGTATTATAGACCTTAACCTTTTAGTGGACATTATGCCATCTAGAGATAAATACAAACCAGAAACCCTAACTAGAGTCCAATTCTACCTAGAGTAATGCATTTTTGAAAAAAATATATAAATAAATAAATTGTATTTTCTTGAATTCTTGGTATTACAGAGATGGTATTTACATTTTTCAAATATATTTTATAGTATAATAATAAATTATATTATCATTAACCAATGTGAACATGCTATATATTAGGTTTTCAGAACATATCCATCTGACACACATAGTGTTTGAACAACATTTTCCCATTATCTTTACCCCTACCCTTCACGCCCACCTCTGTTATCTACCCCTCTGGTCTGTTTTTATAAGTTCAACTCTTTTAGATTCCACACACAAACGAGATCATGCCATGTACATCTTTCAGAATTTGACTTGTTTCATTTAGTATAATATGCTGAAAGAACAGATCTTACATGCAAGTGCACAGTAACTATGTGAGGTGAGGAATATGTTAATTAGCTTGATGGTGACAATCATTTCACAATGTATACATATGTCAAAACATCATGTTGTATACGTTAAACATATACTATTTTTGTCAATTATAAAGCTGGGAGGGAGACAAGTATTATATAAGGGTAGTAAGAATTTAATCTTCCAAAGCTACAGATGGTATAACTTTTCAAAATTCAAATAGTATATTTTTTTCACTGGTAGAATTTCTGAAGAGACCTGTCACTAATTCTGTTCCAGAGTCTATTCCTTACAGTAGTTTCCTTTTCTTGAGTTCTTTGGTAAATGGATAGTGTCTAAATTCAAAGCAGTATGTTTATAAAAAAAACTACAGAGTAGAATGGGGCACTTTGAGTTCTAATTATCACCATTCTTCATAGTTACATCATGATGCTGCAGACAACAATGAATATTCAATGAATATCACTGCTTCTTCAAGGAATAAATACATATAGTATATACTAACATTTAAACAGAAACATAAACAGAAACTTCTCAATTTCATCATAATGTACAGAATAGATCTGAGAGGAACAGAGACCACAAGTTATTTTTTAAAAAAAGTTAACTCAAGAGTATAGATTTTTCTTGAAAACTAGCCACTGCTTTCCTCAATGAGATATACTGACAACTCAAACAGGCTTTCCTGAAGAACAGCACTGGTAATTAAAAAGAACAGTGGCTTTCAGAGTGGCTGAAGCCACCTATAAGAGTCACTAAATCAAACATTTACCAACTAGATAACCTATGGGAAGATATTTACTCTCTATAATCACCCTTGTTTGCAAAATAGGAAAAATAGCAATTTAAATACATGATGTTTATTTATAAAGCACTTTCATACATATATATTTTAAACTCCCTCAAATTATTCACTTATTCAAAAATGTTTACTGAATGTTTACCTGCAGTTGTAAATTGAAAAGGCACTCAATCTTTTTATCTAATATACAAAATTTAAAGAAGCAGCTGTTTTATTTTCCTTAAAATAAAAATTGAAAGTGGTAAAAAAAGATAAAACAATTCCACTTATAATTTTTATATTAAATATTGTATTACCATCTGTCCATTCATACCTGCCACTTTCTTTGTTCTATTTAACTGGTGACTAAAATTTTCTAATAATATGGGACTTAGCAGGTGAAATTGAATTAATTTTATATTGTTCATAATAAATTGACTAGTACTGTTATTTGGACAAAACATACTTACTGATTTTTAAATTTTTCTGCTGTGCGTATGAATTCTGCTTTCTTAGTCCGACTAACTTTCTGCTTCCAATTTTGAAGCTGAAAAGGACGAATTCCACCCGAAGTACTAAAACAGCCATCATTCTGTATAAAAAATAACAAGAAGTTATCATCCATAATGAAAGTAGTAAGAAATAATGTGAAATTATTTTTCGACACTAAAACATCAAATACTGGAGTTTATTGAGTTCGTTTTAAGGCTAATCTAACTTTTTAAAAAATACATTTTTGTGGAAGAAGGAATTTTTATCTTAAAATGATAAATTAATAATAATAATAATAATAATAATCCAGAGATTTTTTACAAAAAAGATCTAATTCATTTACCAGTCATTTGTCACCTATAGACTGAACACTATGTATGCTATGACAGGGGCAGCATTAGACACTAGGGAAACAATAATGATCCATCCTAATACGGCCCCTCCTTAAAGTCTATTGAAGGGAAACAGATTTATAGAGAAAATATGAAACAAGCAATAAAAACAAATAAAAATGCACCAACTGTGATAAGTGCTATTAAGGAACTAGTGTTAACATGGAAAATATTAACCTAGGCTTGCTTTTCAGTTAGAATAGCTGCAGGGGTTCTATTTGAGGGGGTGACATTTAAGAAAGAATGGAATCAGCCATGCCAGAAGCAGCATGGAATGGTGTGCCAGATCTACAGATCAGCTGTACAAACTTGCAAGAGCAGGAAAGACGTTGGCCAGTTCAAGCACAGAAAAGGCAATATGACATGAGATTAGTAAACGTAGGGGGCTTGATGGGAGATGAAAGTCAACAGGGAGGTACACGCCAAACACACAGATGGGTTAGGTCACTGAGTGGATTTTACTGCAGGGTTTTGAACAGAGAAATGCATGGTAAATTTAATTCTTTAAGAAAAAAATTCTGGCTGTTTTTGGGGAATAAATCGGTGGGAAGTGTGAGGGTGGGTGAGGCACGAATGGAAGCAAGATCAGTGGAGTAGCTGATGAAGCAACACAGGCTTGGAATGAGTGTTCAGGACTACCCAGGTGACAGAAATTAAAAGAAGTTAAGAACCTTAGATTTATTTTGAAGGTATAACCAAAAGGAATTGTTGAACAATGGGATGTGAGAGATGAAGAAAAAGGGAAATACAGGTTCTATATTTCTAAGAGCAAGAACAAAGTAAAGAATTTAGAAAATTGCCGGATTTCTGTTCTCAAGACTAAAAGGCTCAGGGGTCACTCTAGTTAAACTGGGCTAACTGGGCTGCACGAAATAACCACACAAGAGACACAAATACCTTTTTCTTTGGGGTTTCTGTGACGGCTCCTCTGACCTTAAGGGTCCACAGAAAGAGAGAGAGCATGCACTGACCCCTTTTATTGAGGAAGAAGCTATTCAAATGAGGCAAGGGGTCAGGTTTCAGGGGGCTGAGTCTATCTTCATGATGTCCACTGTCAGCAGGCCGACTGACACCTGGGTAGGCCACACCCAAGGGCACAGTAAGAGGAGGGGACACACACAAGGCACTTCCATGGAAGATTCTATCCTAAACAGGGCAAGGGGTTATTTTACAAAGGAACAGGTGAGCATAGCTTCACCCATGGGGCTGTAGCAAGACACACCCATTTCTGTGACTGAGCGCCTCAGCACCCAGCTGGGGATTGTAACTCATTCACCCATAAGGTTGGCCTCCCACAGGAAATATTTAAAAAGTTGAGATATAATTCACATACCATAAATATCCATTTAAGACATACAATTTGGTGGTTTTTAGTATATTCACAAAGTTGTGCAACCATCATCACTATGTGGTTCTGAGATATTTTCATCATGCCACAATGAAGTATTATACCCATTAACAGTCACTCCCCATCTCCCTTCTCCCAGCTCCAAGCAAGCATTAACTTATTTTCTAACTATGAATTTACCTATTCTAGCTAAATGGACTCATACAACATGTAGCCTTTTCTGTCTGGCTTCTTTTGCTTAGCACATTGTTTTCAAGATTCATCCATGTGGTACCATGAATCTGTGCTCCATTCCTTTTTGTGGCTGAAATGTGATGCTTTATACAGATCCTCCACATTTTGTTTACCAACTCATTGGACATCAGCTGATGGACAATTGGTTTCTTTCTACTATTTGGCCTATACAAATAATGGTACCATGACCATCTATATGTGAATTTAACTTGCCTATTTTTGTAGTACCGGGGATTAATCCCAGGGCCTCAAACATGCTAGGTAAGCACTCTATCACTGAGCTACACAACCAACCCTTTCAATTCTCTTGGGTAAATAGCAGGATTTCTGGCTCATAAGGTAGCTCTATTTTTTAATTTCCCATTTAAAAATCTTGGTTGAGGGCTGGGGATATAGCTCAGTTGGCAGAGTGCTTACCTTGCACACACAAGGCCCTGGGTTCAATCCCCAGCACCACAAAAAGACAACAACAACGACAACAAACAGGTTGCCCTTTTATTATTGAGTTGGAAGCATTCTTTTTATTTCTGAATGTAAATATCTTACTATATATGTAATTGGCAGATATTTTTCTCTGAGTTATCTATTCATGTCTTTAGTAATGCCTCTTATGCACAAGGTTTTAGTTTTCTGAAAAACTGCCAAACTGTTTTCCACAATGGCTGTATCTTTTACATTCCCACTAACACGGCATAAGGGTTCCAATTTCTTTGTACCCTCACCAACTCTTGCTATTATCTGTCTATTTTATTTTAACCATTTTAATGCCTGTGAAATAGCATTAAGGTGGTTAATCTTTGATTAGTTCCTAATGACTAATGATGTTTCACATCTTTTTCATATGCTTATGGGTCACTGCTATTGAGGAATATCTATCTACTTAAATCTTTTCTCATTGTTTTAGAAGAAAATAACTTTAACTAACTCATAAACAATAATATCATGATTGGTTTGTGGCCACACAAACATTTGCCCAGTCCCCAATTTTATACCATCTCAATGAACTCTATATATTTGGAACATCCTCTTCCATTGCCATTCTGAAAACTTGATATTTTCACTACCAGTTACATTTTTATGCTCAAGTAATTTGGTCATCAGTGCTGATTTTCTATCTCTTCAATTTGAATTTCTTGATTAGATTAGTCTATTGCAAGTCTGCACTGCCTCAATACCTCACTGAAATCATTACAATGGCTTAACATTACCTTGGTTCTAGGAATAATTCCCAAACTATTTTATCTCATAAAAGCAAATGCCACCAAATTGCTGCTGTTGTGCTTGCTCAGTTCCCTGGACTCCTGGTAAATAAGGTCACACTCTGAGGGCCTAGCATTATTTCTTCCACTATAGTCCTTAATGATGGTTGGCCCTATGTGTGCTTGACAGCAGTGTACATGACCTCACCAAGCTGTAGTTACCAGAGGGCATCAGACTTTGCCGGGAGGTGGAGCAGCGGGGGAAGTCAATGTTGCTGGTAGCAAAGCTGCTGGTACCACCCAGGGAGCAGCTCTCTTCTGAAGAGTCCCCTGGCTGAAGGGCCACATGAGAAGTGTGATTTTGGCTTTCCTGCAGCATTACATATGCAAAGTGGCGGGGGGGGGGGGGGGGGGGGGAGCCTGGGGTTGTAGCTCAGAGGTAGAGCACTCACCTAGCACATGCAAAGCCCTGGTTCGATCCTCAGCACCACATAAAAATAAATAAATTAAATAAAGGTATTGTGCCCAACAATAACTTAAATAAATAAATAAATAAATAAATAGTGGCATAGAGTCTAAAAAAAAAAAAAAACAAAGAATCTAGTGGCTTCTGCCTTTTCTCGTTTAAAAAAAAAATAGGCTACATGTCATTTTATTGTTGAACTGTTAGAGCTGCTTATGTATGTTCATTTTTATGGGAGGGCACTATTTTAGATTGAGCTCCTACACTAAGTCCCCAAAGACCAGACCAAACCAAAATGGAGTCATTTATGCTAAGTGCTGCATAATCAAACTGAAACTCTAAGGAAGGCAGTAGATCCTCAAACAGACTACTTTTTCCTAACATTCACAGCAGCCAATCAGAAAGGCTTTACCAGTCTTCAGGGAGTCAAATAAGTGAGTCCTCTTTAACTCTCACAAGAAAAGTAAACTGAAGCAACCTGATGTTAACTAATATGCTTTTTTTCTAGTTCCCACCTTAAAAGAAAAACAATAACAACAACAATGGAACACTGTTCTGTGAAGCCCTGTGAGAGTTCTTATTTTGTTTTATAGAACAAGATACTTTTCCAATTCATGAATTGCAAATAAGTCAATATGATCTTTAAACTAGTTGTGCAATTTTGTTTTTAAACCTATATTGTAGACATAAAACCTTTACAAATTTTCGAGTATTTTTTCACATTCTCTGATTTGTCTTTTCTTTTTTGGTACTAGGAACTAAACTAAGGACCATGTGCATGCTGAGCACACGCTCTATCATTGAGCTGCACCCCCATGCCTCTTCACTTTCCTGATAATGTCCTTTAAGGCACCAATTTTTAAATTTTAATGGAGTACAATTTATCTTACTTAAGTTTGGTTTGTGCTTCAGATTTCTATAGAAGAAACCACTGCCTATTCAAAGGTCATGAAGATTCATGCCTATGTTTTCTCCTAAGAGTTATATATCACATGTTGGACTCTATTTGGGGTTATTTTTCATATATGGTGTGAGGTAGGAGCTCAATTTATGTATGCAGATATCCAATTGTCCTAGTACCATTTGTTGAAAAGACTATTCTTTTCTTACTGAATTGTGTTATTGAAAATCATTTCTCATGCCCACAAATGTAGTTTTATTTCTTGACTCTCACTGATCTTTATGTCTATGCAGTACACATTGGTTACTGTAGCTTTGAAATAAGTTTCAAAACTACACAATGTGAGCACTCCAACTCTTGTTCTTTCTTCTAAGCTGTTTTTACTAGTTGGTAAATAATATCCTGCATTTTCTGTATGTAATTTAGGATCAGCTTGTAAATTTTTTTTTTTTTGCAAAAAAAGGGCAGATGGGTTGGATTCTCTGGAGACTATACCATTCTTAACAGAATAAAGTCTTCAGATTCATAAACATGAAATATCTCTTTATGTAGGTCACCTTTAA